GTTGTTCTCCTGGGTTCTACTGACCTCTAATGTTCTCCTGGGTTCTACTGACCTCTAATGATGTTCTCCTGGGTTCTACTGACCTCTAATGTTCTCCTGGGTTCTACTGACCTCTAATGTTCTCTTGGGTTCTACTGACCTCTAATGTTCTCTTGGGTTCTACTGACCTGTAGTGGTGTGCTCTCAGCCGACAAGGCGGTGAAGCCGATGATGTCACTGAAGTAAATGGTGACGGAGTCAAAAGCTTCGGCCTGAACCATCTCACCTCGTTTCAACTGCTCCGCTACTGAGCTGAAACACAATAGTATTATGTAGTAGTACTGCAGTATATTTACTGTGGTAGTATCTGGTACAGTAGTAGTATTATGTAGTAGTATTGCAGTATATTTACTGTGGTAGTATCTGGTACAGCAGCAGTATTATGTAGTATTATGTAGTATACTTACTGAGGTAGTATCTGGTACAGTAGTAGTAGTACTGCAGTATACTTACTGAGGTAGTATCTGGTACAGCAGAGCCTCAGCCTTCCTCTTCTCCTCGTGATACGCCTGAGTTCTCTCCTCCACCAGCTCCTCCAGGTTGTTGGCGTACTGCTCCATACGAGACAGAAGGTTGTCCAGGATGTTTGACCCGTAACCCCTGAACAGACAGACAGGTGGACAGTGAAGGGAGACAGGATGAGAGACAGGAGGACAGACAGGAGTTAAAGAACTAAATTAAAATTCTAAATTTAGTTCATTTTACAGCAAATATTTTACCCCCTCACCTGTCTCATCTGTGCCCCCCTCAGCATCCCCCCCCTCACCTGTGCTGCTTTCTCAGCAGGATCTTGACGCTGTTGAAGTCCGGTCTCTCATGGGGCCCTTCACTCCAGCAGCGTTGCATCAGGACCCCCAGATCCTCACTGTGACTGTGGACGCAGAGGGAGGGACGGAGGGGGGGTGCACCGCCATGACGCACCGCCTCGACAATCTCTGAGGGCGGGGGGCGTGACAGACAACGTCTTCGTATTTATACTTACTATTATTAAGAGGGTAAACACACACTGACCATAAATGAGGCCCCTGGTCTTTGTCCACAGAGGGTAAACACACACTGACCTTTGGGAGTCAGAGTGAGTGAGTCCAGGTGGAAGACTCCTCTCAGCAGAGCCACCTCCTGCAAGATGATACTGAAGCTGTAGACGTCTCCTCTCTGAGTCCCACAGGGGGGGGGGCAGTCTGTCCTCAGCAGCTCCGGAGCCGTCCACAGTTTACCTGCATAGGGGGGGTGAACGGAGGGTGGACAGGTGGACAGGTGGACGGGGACAAACTTAACTTCTCATTATCAAGTCAATTTAAATGTCTCTAGTGAATCTGTAGAGCAGTAAAAGTACAACATTAACCTCTGAGATGAACTACAATGACACAGATGTACTACAGTAGTTGTATATTATCTTACGTGCGTAGTAGGCGTGCGTGTCCTCAGGACAGCTGCTGGTCCGGAGACTCTCCAGACCATAATCAGTGATCTTCAGGACGAAGCGACCGTCCACCACACAGTTAGAGGACTTCAGGTTACCGTGGGAGACCAGGACGCTGTTGTGGAGGAACAACATGCCCTGAAAACAACAACAACAACAACAATAACAAACATCACGTTACGTTCACACAACACGTAAGGTTCAGAGGTCACTCTGAGGAGAATCTGTGATGTGGGGCAAAATAAATAAATAAATAAATATATATATATACACACACACACATATAAATATATATATTAGTGCTGGGCAAGTTAACGCGTTATTATTGCGTTAACGCATTAATTAATTAATGCCGACAATTATTTTATCGCGCGTTAACGCAGTTTTTTTTATTTTTATTAAGCGGACATTTTTAACACAAGAACCAGGCAGCGAACGGTGAACAGCTGTTTGTGTGGCGTCTCTTCCTGTTTCCTTCACCTGCATTCCCCTGGGTCCTAAGTCCCTCCATGTACAGCTTCTTATCACCCTCTATGTACCAACGTACATTTATAACAAATACCACACATATTACAGTAATCAGCATTGCATATGTGTCTGACCACAATACCAAAAAAAGCTAAAAATAAATGATTAATTTGAATTATTCTTTAGAGTTTTTAAAGTGTTTTTGTTTGTAATATGTATAATAAGCATCATTTAGTATCACTACTGAGAATTTAACAAACATAAAAACATGACATAGATAGGTTTGCAGTTTTCAAGGTGTATAAAATTGTAATCATTGCCCAGCACTAATATTTATATTTAATCGCGATTAATCTCATTGTTTTGCGCAAAGTTTAATAATGAATTCAAAAGTAGTGTATTGTGCACTTTAAGTACTGCTATATGAACAAAAGGTCAATAACATTTGGTGTAAACACTTTAAACACATCAGGTTGTTGTTAACAGCAGTATTCCCTTTACACAGTAGCAGTTATAACAGTTACAATGATTCTGATCATAGATATTCAGCCGGTGTTCACAACTTTATCTTCATGTGTGTAAGAGATGATATTTAAATATACACCTTGAAAACTGCAAACCTATCTACATCATGTTTTTACATCATGTCGGTTCTTGTGTTAAAAATGTCGCTTAATAATAATAAAAAAAACTGCGTTACCGCGCGATAAAATAATTGTCGGCGTTAATCAATGAATGCGTTAACGCGATTATAACACTAGCCAACGTCTCAGTTAACTTATTTTTTAACTGAGACGATGAAGATGATGAAGAGGAGGGAGGTTCTCTGAAGCCTCGCCCCCTGCTGCAGCCAAAGGCCGTTACCTTGACGATGTCATTGATGAGAGAGTATCTGAACATCCAGTCCAGAGTGATGCTGTCGCTCTCCATCAAGTCCTGGAACACACACACACACGCACACACACACACACACACACACACACACACACACACACACACACACATTCTGTCAGTTCAGTGTCATTATGATGTAGCTTCTTGTTGCGACTCATTCACCCAATCAAATTACAGCTGTGTGTGTGTGTGTATGTGTGTGTCTCAATGTGTGTGTGTGTGTCTGTGTAATGTGATTAAAGTGACACACAGCTGCTTCCACCTGAACAACAACAACAGGACTGATTTCTGCCGATGAGAATATATCTTTAGGTACATATATATATATATATATATATATATATATATATATATATACTGTATATGTACGTATATATTATAAATATATAGTAATAATATATATTAGAAATATTTAAATAATGAATTGGATTAAATGGTGAAAGTGTCAAAGGGCTTTATGATGGAAGTAAACGATGGACGATAAGAGAAATGTCTCATAAGTTTTGTGTTATTAAGATTTAGATCTTTTCATTTTTTCAATATTTTCAATTATTTAAATTTTCATTTGGATTCGAGTTAAAGTAGCTTCACACATGATGCTAACATGCTAACACCAAGATAGTCTTTATACTAGTGCTGGGCAAGTTGACGCGTTATTATCGCGTTAACGCATTAATTAATTAACGCCGACAATTTTTTTATCGCGCGTTAACGCATTCATTTAAAAAAAATATTATTGTAACAGACTGTCTCATGATTATCGTTTTGTATTGGAGATGATATGTCCCTTCAGGGTTGCCGTAGAAAAAAGGCGACTCCCGCTTCTGGTCGAGGGGGGGGGCACAAAAATACAGAGAGAAGCCGTGGGCTGAACGAGATGTCTAGTCTCCTGACTCTGCTTATTACCGTCTTATAAATGCACCTCATACACAAACCCAGGACGCTCGGTCACATTGGTGGCAGCGGTGTTTCTTATGCAACGACTACGGACCACTACGACTATTTTACGCTTCGACTGTGAGTGTGCACTTTCTTAGCTCAGCTTAGCTGTCTCAGTTTAGCTAGCAGGCTAACTCTGCAGCACTTCAAAGAGAAAAACGCCGCTGGTTCAAGTACAGGATGTGGGTTGGAGATGAAGACCCATAAAGCCCAGCTCAGGGCTGTTCGGCAGACGGTCGGCCAGCAGGGGACCATGTGGACCTGCCTGCTCCGTGTCCAGAGTGTCCTCGGCTGGGTGATACAGTCTGTTACTTTATTTTGAAAGTGCGCTGTTCACTGGCAGCGGTGGAGGAAGTCTTCAGACTACGTTGATGCAGCGTGTGGGAGAAGTTTAGATGAACTAAAGCAAGACAAGCTAACAGATGCTACAGAGAAGTGGAGACAAACTGCAGGTTAGTGTTGTGGAAGATGTCGGTCTGAGGAACGTTCTCAAGGTGCATTCACGTTGCGTTTGGTGTGAACGCACTTTTAGGATCTCAACGAATGACGTCAAGTATGAGCCTCAAGACGCACCGTCACAAGAAGAACACACAAGTTGTATTAAAGGAGAGGCTGACTAAAGCGACGGAGTTACAACGTGCAGCAGCTGCTGCTCTCACTGGAGACTACTGGACATCGCTGGGTCACCATCATCACCTCTGAGTTACAGCATCATAGTGATGAAGAGTAGAGCTGG